GGGAAGTCCTATGATCACTAGAAATATTTTTCAGTTTTAATACTGTGAAGACATGTAATTTATTTTGAGGACAATACTTGAGGTGATTATGTCGAGAGCATTTAAGGTGTATACTGAGCTACATGGATATCTCTGCACTTCTCTGCTGTCCATAATCAAACTTGGAGAATATGAACAAGGCATCCTGTATAGGCAGCCCTGTACTGAGAATGCAATGTTGGTGAACAAAGAGAAGGAATAACATTTGTTACTAGAGCTCACTGGTTTCTCTCTACTTTTGTAGATGTCTATTCCTTTGATGAAGAGGAGCCTGTTTTAGATCCACATATAGCGAAACATCTGGCACACTTTGGAATTGATATGCTGCAGATGCAAGTGGTAGGAAACCCATCTTTTATTTAGTTTATTGTTTACTTGTTTGTTCAGTTGGGGCTGGGAGAAAAACAGAAGAATGACACTTGTATCTTATTTGTGTAATTCCTTCAGACTTATGATAGTACTTAGGTTTGTAAAGTTCAGCCAGTTCATGTTTTGAATATGAATCATTACTCTCAAATCCAAAAGTTGCCTTCCAAAAGTGGTCCTTTGTGGCCTTTAGTTTATGTTTTTCACTTCTCCTGTGTTATGTACCATTTGCCTTCTAGATGAGAACATTCAATTAGAGAAGAGTATCTAGAATATTTAATTACAGTGAGTGAAAGAAAGCCAATTGCATGTGTAAACAGATACAAGCCTTAAGCAAAAAGAAGCTAAGCAATGAATAAGTTAAAAAGTGACTGAAAGTTCTTTGTGTAAGTTTCAGTTTAGGTCTTGTTAAGAAGTACATTGCAAAATGAAAAAATTACATTCTCTGAAGTCTAGAAAGCAGTGTGATCTAGGGTGTGATATGCTAGAAAGGGACTGGGGTAAAAAGGGTCCTGTTCCTGAACATTTGTGTGTCTATATGAGTAGACTCATTTTAATAATTTGTATCTTAGTAAGTATTGATTCCAGTTCTGTTTAAATGATGTAAGGTACTGAGCATGAAAACTATTAAAAATTATCAAACCTGATACTGGTTTAGTGTATTTCATTGTCCAAGTGGTGAGAAAAATAATAATAATAGATATGACAGAGAAGATTTAAACTGCAGTTTGAAAAGTGTTAGTGGTGCTAATAATATTTTTGGTATACTAATGTCCCTGCCAATATAATGAATAAAAAGTTTCATCTGTCCTGTGTGTTTGCAGGAAAACCTGTTTCACTCAGCAACCTTGAAAACTTAGTCTCACCTGTTGCAAAGCTTTCACCTCTGGTCTTTGAACCAGTTTGAACAGTTCTTAGAGAAATGGTGGAGTAGTGGTAGCAGTAAATAACACTGTAGTGACCTGTACCTACAAGCTGAAGGCTGAGCTGTAAAGGGGAGAAACTTCAGTGGCACAAATTTTGGGTTTTCCCATTTGAAAGAAGGGAAGAGTTCTTGGATCTGCAGCTTTTCATGTGGTTTGTTTGCTAGCACCAGCTTCTACAGCAGCAGCTATTCCTGGCCATTACAAATGGAATAGGAAACCTGAAGGAATGCAGTGTTTGAGCTGAGGCTTGAGGTCACAGACCTGAAAGAAGTGAAGCTCCCAGCTGGGATTGAGGGCACAACTGGGAACACTCAAAGAGCCAGTGGCTTGTGGTAAAGAGTTAAGAGATGTATTGGAGGAAGAAGCTGCTAGCTTTCTAGCCCTGATGATCACCCCTACATACAGGATTTACCTCCCCTTGCCCGTTGATTTGGCTCTTCTGTTTTTTGGAGTATAGACCACAGAGTTGGTGATGATGAAGGCAGCTGCGTAATTGTTGCAGAGGTTAAATTAAAAAGAAAATCTTGTTGCTTTCAGACAGAGAATGGGCTAAGAGATAATGATATAAAGCCAAGAGTCTCAGAATGGGAAGTAATTCAGGAAGCTGGTGTGAAACTCAAGCCCATGTATGGCCCAGGATACACTGGCATGAAGAACCTGGGAAATAGCTGCTACCTCAATGCTGTCATGCAAGCCATTTTCAGCATCCCAGAGTTCCAGCGAGCGTAAGTAGCTTCAAACTACTTCTTGTCACTAGCTGCTGCAGTCCTCAATTTGTTGCTTTTCTAAGAAAAAAGGCATTTTAAGTTTTGTATCACCTGCAAACAGGTCTCTTTCAGTCAGTTCAGTGGCTGCTTAGAGGATTTAGTGATTTTTATTGGTCCGGTCTGGAAAAGGTTAGAACAGAAAACCCAATTTGCCTTTGACACCATGACTTACTGCCTTAGCTTCAGCAGTGGGAAATCATATGGCACCTTGTAAGTTTGGTGGCTCTGTCTCTGCTTTTTATATGCATATGTACATATCTCTATTTATTTTGGTATCATCATTAGGGGTACTGGCCCATACTTTCAGATTGCTGCAGGACTCATTCTGTTGCTTCAGTGTGATTTGTGCAAAAAACTAGTACAAACATGTTAATACTGATCCATGTTAGTGCAAAGCAAAGCATCTTTTCCAGACGGCTCTAAGGAGGGAAACTATCAGAGGCATATTTTAATTAAAATTAAAAAAAATTCATGAAAAGGGTAGTGTATGTGTATTCTTCCACTGAATAATTAAGAGAGTGAAAAGACAAAAGCACAGTAGAAGAATATGAAATACCCCTGACTGAGCAAAACCGAAGACATGACTCCAAAGAGAGATGCCTTTTCATAAAAGCCAGTCTGGTTTGAAATAAAATTCAGAGTGCCCTTTCATTCCACAGCAGTATGTGCTGGAAGTAAAGCCTTTAGATTTTGGAAAGCCTTCCAGGTTTTCATGTTAGCTGTTGCCTTCTGGAGAAGAAGAAGGAGAAAACTTGTGTTTATTTACTTTGTTAGCCCTATGGAGTACAGTCTGTAGATTGATTAACTTCCAGCTCTTCTATCTCCGTTGTTGAAAAATATCAAAATGGACTTTATTAAGGAAGATCACGGTCCTGGGAGCTACTTGGAGGACTTTTCATCAACAAACTAGTGGAGATCTTTGATGAAAGAGGGACCAGGCAACATGGCCATACCTGCCTAGCCTGTTTTCCCTTGTGCTCAAGTGAAGAAATGTTCAGAGTGTGTTGCTAAATGCTTTGCCTTCCAACAGACTGACTGCAAGGCCTCAGTGTTTATTGTCAGAATTGTTTCTCTGGGAAACTCAATAGAAACATTATTTTTGCATGTTTTCATCCTGATGCAAATTTGGACTTTATTTGATGATGTTGGTTAGGAGTAGAAAATACATTGGTTCTCAACTCAGCTCTGTGGTTTTGAGCAACATCATCCTCCAGCTATTGAAAGATCAGGGCATAGAATTTAAATTCCAGATGAACAACACAACCATATCCTTTATAGTTAGAAGCTTCTAAGTAAAAGCTCAATGTCTGTTTCCTAATTTCTTTACTATTATTTTTGCATGATATTATTTTTGCACTCACCAGGGATAGATTGAATAATTAAGCTGCAATATTTGAATGTTTCTGCTGACCAGGTATGTGGGAAATCTTCCACGAATATTTGACTACTCTCCTCTTGATCCAACACAAGATTTCAACACTCAGATGTAAGTGACATTTCTAAATGATTTACTTAGTCAGGTTAGATAGAATATAGATAATGTAATGGCAGGGCAAAAGAACATTTTTCATGGGCTTTGAAAGTGAGATATGGCACAAGGTAGAATGAGAAGACTTGACCACTTAGTTGCAGGTAGTGATGTTTCATCAAGGAGTCAAAGGCAGTGAACTTCTCTTTTGTTTGAAATAAGTCTTCTCTGATTTTCTCTTTTCCTTACGTTTGTTTCCACCCCACCACTTTCTTCCTTACAGGGCTAAACTGGGACACGGCCTCCTTTCAGGCCAATACTCTAAGCCACCCATGAAATCTGAGCTTATTGAGCAGGTGATGAAAGAAGAACACAAGGTATTTAACTGAGTTTGTACAGCCTGGTAACTAGGTAAAAGTGATATCCTGAGAAAAGGGAACAGGTGCTGGGCATTGAACAACACATGTGGATCCAGCATGGATGGGATGCTTAGCAAGGTGGAATGTGCAGGATACTAGTCAGGGATATATTAGTCAGGGGCTATTTGTGCAAAGCATTAGAGCAAGCATTGGTTCTGCTAATAAAGTATTCTGCTGCTCCACTGATGAGTGCAAATGTTCATGGAACTTACAAGCAATGTTTATCTTCTCTGAAGAACAAAGAAAAAGTGTTATCCAGAGAGTCCTGAGTATTTGAAAGCAACGTTCTAAATCCTCTTTAAATTTCAGAAAGTAGTGTAAAGAGCTGAAGAATTGTTTTCAGGAAGTGTCTGACAATGTCCACCTGATTTCAGGAGAAGCTGCCTGGGTAATACAAGTTTAAGTGGTGCTGGAGGGCTTCATGTAGATGGAGAGGCCATGCGGAGTCATGGAAGTAATGCATGTTTCTGTCAGAAGCATGGTGATAGTTTCCATGGAAATAGATATTTTCCTCTACCATCATCTATCAATTAGTGATGTAGGAATTTCTCCTGAAATCAGAATGCCAACGAACCTTTGGACAGAAAGAGCATCTGGTACAGAGCAACTTGCATGACCTGAAAGTCTGTGTCTCCTGAGTCATTGCTTTGACATTATTTTGGAACAAATGAATCCTGCTTGTTTCCTTAAAATGAAGTTCGAAACTTATCAGCACACCACTGGGACTAAGGAATAGATGTCATCAGACTTCATACATTAAATTATGTGTACTGCCTGAGCTGCTTTTCTAAACACATACAGGGTGTGAATAAAGAATAATGTGCTGGAGGTTCAGGGACCTGAATAAAGCTACGCCTCCACATTTAGCTCAACAGCTACTGCTAGAAACGAGATACTGAGAACTTTTTAATGATAGATGGTATAAAACCCTGTCAAGTAGTAGTGGTAGTCATCTACTGGCATTTAACAGTACTTGTGTTGTTCATAAGTTCAATTTAATAAAGTTTTAGTTACGTATATCGAATTACTTCCTTATCAAGCATCTGTAGCAGGTACTAGGTTTGAAACAGCTTTTTACAGCTTTTGTTCCTTGCTGTATTATAGATTAATTTAAAAAAAATATAAAATAAAATCAGGTGTAGATATTTTCTCCATTCCTTCACTCTGGGAATACAAATCTTTGTTTTTTTCAGTTTGGTGGTGCTTTTTTGTTTGCATAGGATTTTAGGCCTTCATTGCTTTCAAATGCTTCTGCTTTGTGTCTGTAAAATAAATTATTCATTTTATTTTTCTCCCTTTACTTTTCCCCCTCCTACATGCAAAGAAGTTCTCTAGCTTTCTGAGTCTTTGGAATTCATCCAAAGTTTTGGGGAGTTGTTGCCTGCAAAAGCATTCATAAGAGATCTGCAGTGGTCCAGCACAATCTATATTTAGCTAAACTGTTTTGCAACTGTTGATGGGGAAAGTATGCTAGGTATTCTATGAATATTTGTGGCACTGGCAGCATTTTTCTTGGATCCACTTTAACATTAAAAAGAGGCTGAAACCCTAAAGAGTCATCACCTGGGACTTGATTTTCAGTTTAGAGCTTTAACACTTCTTCCGTTATTTTCTTTTTTTGTCCTTGAGGTAGAAAGGGTTTAGATTGCAAGATTCAATCCTCTTTCTATAGACTGTCACACATGGCATGTTTCTCTGCTTCCTGCTCAAAGCCTGAGTACAAAGTGTATAGGTGGAAACAAGGCTTGATTCCAAACTCATTACATTATACAGCAGGGCAAGTGTGCCATATTCTTGCTTCTGGCATAGAAAGAAGCCTGGTATATAGTAATGTGAGCTGCTTTATGCATTCCTCTCCCCAGTCCTAGCTTTGATGAAAGGCACTTGAGGACACTGAAGCAATATATAACCCAAGATTCAGAAATCCGTTTAGACATCTCCTTGTCTAAGCAATACTGAGACACTCTCTCTTGATGAGAGCCTTTAAGGAGCATCTTGCCCTAATGTGGTTGCTGGTGTACTGCCAGAAATGTAAAAAGCATTAAAATTGAGAATCTGCTTCTGATTTTAGTGGGTCTAGGAATATAGTACCGTGACAAAACAAAGAATAAAATTTTGCTCTTCTAGTGTGTGTTTTATGTGCCTTCTATTTCAGGCTGCTTTTTCTATTTCTATATTGGTATGATAGTGCAACCATAGTAATGAATGAGATTGGCTGAGTTTTTAACAGCCTCTGAGAGATCCTAAAGGTTATACTTCTGCTTGGATTGTCTTGCAAATTATTTGGTTTCATGGAGGATGAAGGCAAATCCAAGTAAAAGATTCTGACCCTTTCTAAAGTGCTGTTTGCAGGGCATCATAGCTAGTGTTGTCTTGAGGGTCTGGAATGGTTGGGGAGGCTTCTTAAAGTGGTATAGAGGATGGGAAAGTCAAAACTAGGCCTCTCTTGAAAGCTAGAGATTTTCTAATTTAGGGTAGTTTCTTACTGATGTAACCAAATGGCTAAATGTAGTAAGTTAAGGTCTTTCAACACGACCAGCACCTGCAAATTGCAAATCCATGTCTGCTTTTACCAATCCTCTTGGGACTGCATGCTGCACACATTAGTTGTTCTCTGCTTGATTCTGTAGAGGTCTCTGGAAAGGTTTTGCCCTGAGTAAAGCTGCTAGCTGATATACCAAAGTGCTTCAATGCACTGGCACAGAGTTCTGAAAGCAATGTCAGATGTTATAAAACAATGTAGCCTTTCAGCCTTTCTGAAAACTAACCTTTAGCTAACCTCCAGTAACCTCTTTTAACTTGAAAATGCCATGGAAAAATCAGATAGAGTAAATGCTGTAGGAACTATGTCATAAAACATATTCTAAAACCCCCAAATCATGTTTCAAGACCCTTTCCATTTTTATTAAAACCAAAAACTAGATGAAATGGAAACTATCATTTCTCCAGTGACAGAAATGGGCCATAGATAGATGTAGTGTGGTGTCTTTGGGATATTTGGTCCAGAATTGAATAAAAATCTCTCTTTAAAAGGCTTCTTTTTCTTTTCTTTAGCCTCAGCACAATGGAATATCTCCCAGAATGTTTAAGGCTTTTATAAGTAAAGGCCACCCAGAATTTTCCTCTAATAGACAACAAGACGCACAGGAGTTTTTCCTACATCTTATAAATCTAGTAGAGGTGAGAAAATATAAATTGCTCCTTCTTTTTCTGACTATGTTAGACAATGAAGGCAAAACTGTTCTATGAGTGGCTCATTTTGTAATTATAGTGTATTTAGCCTTGGATATGTAGAAAATGGCACGAATGAAAATGTATTTTGATTTAGAAACGTTTGTTCCTTTAATTCTTCCTTCTCTTTACTTCAGGCTCTTATATGACCATGCACAGAGCCAATGGTGCTGATAACAACTGTAAGAGATACAGAGGGGTCAAGAATCACTGTACAGTTATAAGATTTATAAACATCTGTGACCTTCAATGCTATCCATTTGTTTATGATATTGAAGTCTGTCATGGGATGTTAATGAATTGGGTATTATGATTATTATTCCAAATTCATGTGGAGCAAGTTAATTACCATGTCCAGTTCTTTTACAAGTCCCAGCTGTAGGTCACTGGCTCATGGGAGGAAGGACTCCCCTGCTGAAAGCAAAGTGACTGTTTGTCTGTTGAATATTTCTGTATAAAATGTTAAGTTCCACTGAGCTCCAGTTCAATGCTGTGTGTAAAAGAATTATACTGTGAATTTTAATGCTGTCTTTCTGAAAAGGAATTTACAAATACATGCAATTTTGATGTAAAGCATTTCTTGTCTACCCTTCCTCCCTCGTTTTCCCATTTTCCCCAAGAATCAAGGGTGTTTATTCTTGTGTTGCAGTCTCTAGATGAAGTTGCTCACATTTGCATGCATAATGTTGCATGTCCCAAAATGCATGTACTGATTATAGGGTGGTTAGAAGACACTTTTCTGTTTCTTGCCTGATAACAGACATTAACATGAACAACAAAGGGAAGGTATATTATTTGTATGACATTCCCATCTGGATAATGAACTACAAGGAGCTTACTCTATTTCAGTGCAGATTCAGAGTGGTAGGAGCAATTCTATTTGCTGAAAGGATAGTCCATGTTATTTACCTGAGCTTTCTATCTTTATTGTAACCTGCCACCTTCCTACCTTCTTCTGTTTACCTTGACTCAGTCAGATTCATGAGGGACATACTCTGCAAGTTCCTATATGTAGAAAGGTTCTGCTGTGGGTACAGACATTGTGGGCTTCAGTATATTCTCTGTGGGTGCAAGGGTTCTGCATGCAAACAAACACAAGCTGAGCTGCCAGATCTGGGTGCAAGATCATTGTCTTTGTGCTTGCCATAGGAGAACCAGCAGCCCTTGGGTTCTCTGGTCCTTTTAGTGATCATCATGTGACTGTGTCTAATATTCCTTTCAGAGGAATCCTGTGGGTTCAGAAAACCCGAGCGATGTTTTCCGGTTCCTGGTGGAAGAGCGCACACAGTGCTGCCAGTCCAGAAAGGTTCGCTACACAGAGAGGGTGGACTACATCATGCAGTTACCTGTTGCCATGGAGGCAGCAACAAACAAAGGTAAAGAAAGAAACTAGACTCTTTGACCCAGGGATGTCCCACACTGCTTCTAGTACAATTTACTCACCCTTGTTTTCTCTCTGTGTGTGCCCAAAGATCTCCTTTAGGACTGAATTTCCTTTGTCCTGGACAGTGAAACAGGTTATAAAAACTTCTGCATTATAAAGAAGAAACTGAACACACTAGCTAATGAATATCCTGTGAAAATGCACACTCACAAAACCCCCAAAAAGAAAACCAGCCAAAACCCCAAATCTGCTTTGTGTTCATTAGCAGCTGATTATAAGATTTAATGAGATAATAGGGAATAGGGGGATAAGAACTATATAAGATCTATGTAGGATCTATATAAGACCCTATATATTAGATCTATAAATCCAATTATACACAATTTGGATGTCTTGGACTTTAGGAGTGGAGGGAAGAAGGATGAAGTGTTGGATGTTGATTTTAATATACAGGAGTAGTTTCATCATGCCTGTGAGCTGCCTGCAAAAGCATCCTTGCTTTGAAAGGAGAAAATGACCAAGCAGGCTTGAAGATTTGGAAGCAGGAGGGAGGCACTCACTAATCGTGGTTGCCCCTGCAATCAGTGGTGAAGAGTCTTGCAGACCAGCATAATAAATGTGTGCTTGAGGTACAAGTGAAGGGAACATCACAGGAGCACTAGGAAGGGGATGTGCCTCTGATTTCCTAGGTAATCTCAACTTTTAAAGTATTTTAAAGCCAGAAGGACCTGTTTTGATTGTTTGATGAGATCCTTTGAAATAACACAAGGTTGAGAATTCTACTGCTTTTCACCTAGCCCACAACTCCTTGTACTGGACAGTAAGTTTAGGAGAACTTTGCAATCTTTGTTCATCAGTATCAGTGATGATTCTGTTGCTTATAAAAGAGCATGTTATTTCCAGGTAGTGACTCAGGAGATAGATTAGTTTATGAATTTACCATATGGCACTGCTCAGCTTTCCAGTGTGAGGACTTTTTGTAGATCATACATAATCCTGTCCTGTCTAGAAAGTCAGATGACGCACATAGACAGCAATAACTTTCCAGCTCAGATTGACCTGATAAAGTGGATAGTTGGTGTTACTGTTCACACAGGGTTCAGCCTGTCATGGCAAGATTTTCATTGCCTGTTACCCAGTATTTCCAGTTCTGTGTTTTCACCATGAACAGAAACCTTCAATACAGAGATGGGGTGCTAAGTGTAGCTCCTGACCCCAACGCAGACAAAAAAATTTGATGTCTAGTTAAAGCCATGTAAAAGTTTTATTGCTAAGTAGGATTTTGCATTTCTAAAACTTGCAAAAATAAGTGTGGTGAGGAACACATAACCACAGCAATGTTCATTTAGCTTTCAGTGCTGTGTGTATTTCTCAGATGAATTAATTGCCTATGAACTGAAGAGGCGAGAAGCAGAAGCTGCAAGGAGACCTCCACCAGAGCTTGTCCGTGCCAAGATCCCATTTAGTGCATGTCTGCAGGCCTTTTCTGAACCAAGCAATGTAGAGGATTTCTGGAGCAGTGCCCTTCAAGCAAAATCTGCAGGAGTTAAGTAAGTGTGTGTCTGGCTGCCTGTTAAAAACTGTGCTCTGTGCTTATCTTGCTACCTGGACATGATGCAGAGAGAAACAGACAAAGGCATAGTGGGATTGGCATTGTATTAGTGTTTGGGGCTCATAAATGTGATGTGTAGGTCAAGCCTGAGAAGAGTTGTAATGACAAATTGAGCAGGAAATTGTTCTCAACTGTCAGACTCCAAGAGGTGATGCAGTCTGGTTGTTAAGAGCTTGAACTTCAAATGCCTGTAGCTTAATTATTTGCCCACATTTTAAAATTGAATCCAGTGTATCAACTAGAGATAGAGCTTTGTATTGTGGGGTGGGAGATACAGCCTGGATCTCTGTGCTTAGTTTCTTGATGTCTTCATTCTACTACAAATGCCTAAGGGCACTGTGTGGCAACAAAGCAAGGTAGAACAAAGGAAGACTGTTTCTTGAAAGTTCTTTAGATGGATGGAAATGTTTGCATTTGTGAAGTGCTGAGCTGAAAACTTTGCCATTATTATGTTTAATGTTATTTATTGTTTGTGTTTGGTTTCAACACATCACCTTTTTATGCTACAGTGTGTGGCTGCTTCTGTTAAGTTTGCTGCCACTTACATTGGGCCGTGGTGCGAGATGGACATATAAAAGAAGAAACCTGTCTTGTGTGTTTATAACGGGGTGGATAAAAGAACCAAGAACATCTTGGGCTTAAAAAAGCACCAAGAAGAAACAGGACAGAAGGTAGAGATCAGGGGCAGTGTTTCTTGCTGAGAACAAGAGTGAGTCTCTTATCCAGTTCTGTTTTTAAGTCAGCAGCAAGAATTGGTTGAATACTGGGCTCTGCAAGTGCTTTGCTGTGGCTAGGTACCTTCAATTTTTAGATCATTTAACATATCAATGACTCATTGCCGTGTTAGCATGCAGTTTCACTGGTATTTTATTGAAAATTAGGAGACAGGTGCTGGAGGAAAAAGCAGCAGATATCTAAAGGGTTTTTTATTAACCATGAACATGCTGGAAGAACATTCTAGTCTTTAAGTAGATCCAGGGTTAATTTGTATCTTGGCTGTTCTACATCCCCTAGCTCTGTAAAAATATTGAAAGATGAAGAATAATTTGCCATTTAAAATTCCAAAGTTTTGTGTCACAAATGATAAAGTCACTAAAATTGCAAGGTGGTGCTCACAAGCATTTAGAAAGTAATTATTCATAGTATGGTAGGAAGGGCTTGTATTTATTGTGCATTTGCTGTACTTTAGCCAGAGTTAGGTGCTTTAAAAGAAAGGATGGTATGTTTGAGTGGAAGATAAAGGGAAGGATAGAGAAGATGAAATGTGGGGGGAAATAGGAGCATAGAGAAAGAGAATGGTGGTACATACAATACATTGTGTTCGAGATTAAACTTTTTGTTTTCACTAAGTGGGCAAATATCAGGGATGCTCTTAAACTCAAGAGTCATCCTCTATTTTGATAAATATTATAGTGGTTCAATAAGAATATTATGTAGATATTTTAAAATAACACTTCCATGTGAAAAACTAGAGATGACAGCTATTTTTATCCTTGCTCAATGAAATGCTGTATAGGTGGGCTGATACCTCATAGGCAGTGCTACTGTTACTAGAAAGGTGGTGAATAAAATGCAGATTTAAGTGTTACTCCATTCTGTCCAAGCAGTGTTTTAAGCCCACGCCCTGAAGTTCCAGCCAATGTGTCATTCAAAATTTATTTCCTGGCATTCAGAGCAATTTGAGTAAGCAAGTTTAATACTACTTATTGTTGTTTTCTGTAGTCTTCCCATGACTGAGTTGTCTGCAAGGCTGACTTTCAGCATATGAATGTATAGAAAGCTGCTACCATAGTTCTCCACTGTACTTGTAAACTATTTTTGTGAGACCAGTGCTTATAAAATCCATCACTATTGATCTCAGTCAGGGCTAAAGTTAGTCATCTCAGTGTGCATGAGGTACTGAAATCTGTGCTGCTTGTGATTTTGTTGCCTTGTTTCAATGAATTGTGTTTCTTGTCCTTCCCAGGACTTCTCGGTTTGCTTCATTTCCTGAATATTTAGTGGTGCAGATAAAGAAATTCACCTTTGGCCTTGATTGGATACCCAAAAAGCTTGGTATGTGCTTTTTATATTTACCTTTTCCTGATTCTATCTAAGATAATTATCAGGCATACACGCTTTGCTCTGCAATGAGGACCTGGTTTGAGTCTGAAGTTTATACTGTGAAGATCCTAAATGAATCTTCATTCATTTTATGACAAATTAAACCAATCCATCAGGTCTGTGGGGTTAAAGCACAATTTCATGTTATCTGACCTCCAAATTGTGCTTTTGGAACATATAATGTTCCAAATTTCTCAAATAGCTGTTTTCAGAAGGACAATCCTGGCTGTCTCTGTACCTTGAGTAAACAGAGTCACCTGTTTGAAGGTATAGTTTGCACCACAAGGTCATTTTGCTGGGTGCATAAACTGTGGCTGTTTCTCTGCTTGTGTAGATGTTTCTGTAGACATGCCAGATTTCCTGGATATCAGTCACCTCCGGGCCAGGGGCCTCCAGCCAGGAGAAGAGGAACTTCCAGACATTGCTCCTCCCATTGTCATTCCTGATGACCCAAAAGGTATTTACTGGCTCAGTCTCTCATATATTCCACTTTTCTTCTAGCACATAGGGATTCTCTCTAATCTTCACATTTTGGAACTACGGACATAAAAGCAGCTGTAATTTATGTATTTTAAGGCTGCTTCTGTAATTTAAGACTGCTATAACACCCCACAGCCTTTTTTATCTCCCTGTTAGACAACCCTTGTTCTTTCAGCTTTTCTGCTTTGATGTTTTCAGGATTTATCATAGAATCACCAGCTGGTTTGGATTGGAAGGGATCTTAAAAAATCACCTAGTTCTAACCCCCTGCCATGGGCAGGGACACCTCCAACTAGAGGCAGGGGCACCCTCTGCTAGAAGGTTTGATAATTGATGCTGCTGTTCTGGCCTCTCTCCAAATAACCTTCAGTGCATGTCCATGACTGCCTTGCAGTAAAGTTGGTGTGCACTTCCCAGGGCCCAGTGCAAAGGACTTGGTCTCAGATCCCTGTGCTGTGTCTTATGACAGGTGTCAGAAATGGAGTGGAGCATTAATCCACGTGGTCCTCACATTTGCATAAGAGGTGTTACTAAATTACTGTTACCTTTTGAGCAATTTTATACTAAATGTTTTCTAAAACCTGGTAATAAAGTACTCTGGGTGGTACTGTAGCTAATCTCTTGGTTCTTATATACTCCCTTGAGTACAGTATTTGATCCATCCTGGTCAGAAGGAATTTAAAATCTCTCTTTTACTATAATTATTTGTTGTAGGATTTTAGTGTTGCAGTTCTGAGCAGATGCTCTCCTCAGTCACAGAATTTACTTGGATGACTTGGAACAATTTGATTCAAGGTGGAACAACAGACACACCGTGTTTGCAGAATTGATTAATTCACAGTACAACAGTACTTACTACACAAAGAACTACAATTTAAGATAACCATTTTCCAGGCATAGTTTAAAATTCAGAATCTTACTCAGTTTTTAAACTACAGGAATTATTAGGCCCTATCAGCTATGCATGCATGCATAGTCCTCTTCTCTGGATGCATGTGGGCTGCACAGCCCATTAAAAAAGCCTCTGTCTCAAGGATTTGATGCCAAACAGCTGACTAAAATATTTGTAGAGCAGAAAGAAAGGGAAGTGATAAGCATGCTATGCTGCTTTTTTTTTCCTTAAATACTGTTTCTTTTATGCTAAAGTTCAGAAACAAGAATATTAGAATATCCTCCTTCCTCATTCCCTGGGTTTCTTTAGAGAATAAAATGGTTTATAGCAAGTAAAATCAAGTTTTTATAGTGTGACCCTAGACTCAGCTTGTTGCAATTTCCTTCAGATAACTGAAGTTTGGATGCCTCAGCAATTAATAAGAAGACAGTAATGCAACTACTCTCATGACATAATTCCCCCATTTGCTTGGATATTTGTAATAAAAGTGGTGTAATGTCAAGCTGTATGTATGTGAAAGGAAGTTTGTAGCTAAAAGTGTGTGTCAGAGCAAGGATATGGCACAACTGAGTTTTCTAAAGGTTATAATTTTGTCCCTTATCTCTATAGGTTTCTCACAAAGGCCTATTCCTTCTTACCCTCTTGCTGAATGGACTGACCTAGTTTTAGTGGAAATGCATGGGTGATGGTGCTTTATTTACAACAAAACACATTCTTGCTTAGGCCAGCCATCAGCTTTATTTGATACTCGTTTTTAATACCAGTGACACTTTGCTCTGAATTAAGGAAATTACTGTGCACAAACATCCCTGCTCTAACTTGTGACAAAACCATCAGGGATGTAAGGATGAGTGTGCCCTGTCTCTATGAGGTCAAATGTTTCTGTGACTTTGAAAATATGGAATTGTTTTTCCCATGTGGAACTACTTAGCCTTCATGTAAGTCCTTTTCCCTGTTTTTTTCCCTTCTAATTTTCAGATCGTATGACGAACCATTTCATGGAGTGTACGTATCTCATTTGTCTGAGACTGGTATTTCTGCTGCTTAAAATATTGACATGCTTTTGCTCAGCTTATGGCTTCTCTCACCTCATAGAGATGCACAAAGCATTGCCCTGCATGCTTCTAAATAACAGCTGATTTCTGTACTTGTTCAGCACATACTTTCATGTGCACAGGACTCTCAAAGGGTTTGTAGTAGCATCAGGGTAACCAAAATATGAAATGCTCCTCTACCTGCTGCTTCTCAGGAGGGTCTTGCAGATCTGGTGGTCACAGCTGCTTGATCCTGCCTTCCTCTGGACTGTGATCTCATCTGAAGCTGTCAGGCCCTGTCATTCAGAGGTGAACTTCAACTGGAGACTGCTAGATCTGGCAGCTGTTACTTCTCTAACCTGCAAGATCCTGCCTTTGGGAGGTGCTTGCTTTTGCCTGCTCTCTGTTGCTAACCTCAGCACCTAACTTCCTCACCCCCTTAAATACAGTGGTGAGGTTTTTTAATAAAGTCCTGCAGGAATTCATCAAGGTTTAATGATCTATGTAGATTACTGGGGCAAAAGATTATCAGTAAGGCCATAACAACTACTGTAATGCTTTTTACAAGGCTATTTTCCTGTGTCTGTGGGTTTATTGAAGTACTAAACCAAATCCAAGCGATAATTACTGTAATATGTGGCACCATGAATAACAATAAGAAATATTACACAGTGGATGAAATTAGACTTTTATATTTTAGAAGGTCCTTTCTTGTAGCCCTAGATATTGATGAGTCTTCAGTTATGCAGCTGGCAGAGATGGGCTTTCCTTTGGAAGCATGTCGGAAAGCTGTGTACTATACAGGCAACCTGGGAGCTGAAGTTGCTTTCAACTGGATCATTGCACACATGGAAGAACCAGGTCAGTGATTGGAAGGTATAAGTTAAACTCATTTCCTGGTTGTGTATTTTGGCAGTCAGTAGAAATTTTGTAATGTGTGACAGAGAAACCATGGCCCCTTCCCCACCTGGGAAACCTGGAGGTGTGAGTGAATTTTCCCAAGCTGCTCCTGGGATGTGCAGATCTTGACCATTATGTGGTATCCTCTGCCTAGAAGAAGACAACAAACTAAGCTACACCAGAAGTACACTCTCCTGTCCTCACCAATGGTGTGGACCAGCTCTGTGTTTCCACCCTTTGGCTAGGTCCATGCTGCTAAGGGGGAAGCTGACTTGTGATCAAGTGTAAGTACAAAGAATCCTGTGGTCCAGATGCTTTTCTTCCATGTCAGCCTTCTCTAGCTCAGGCTAGAGCATTCATGCCATACTTAGAACTTGGGCTACCTAGTGATGGACAGGGCTGCTAGATGTTCTCCACTTCTGTGTTTCATCCATGCAAAATTTGGACTCATGATTCAGCATTAAGTATATCTGAGCAATCCCTTGCCAGGAAACTCCAGATTTGATTGAGTTCATGCTTCACCATGGGCTTTGTGTCGCTTTTGTAAATGGGAAATGAGTTTCACTTGGGCTTAGCTGACATTTTCAGGTATGGAGTCAGTTCATTTTACATCTACGTGCTGGGTTGTCTATTATCCTGGTGTCATCATTGCTTCCATACCAATCTTTGCTGCTTCCCTGCAGTTGTTTTACTTCTGCAATGTGCCAAATTATGCCAGTCTGCTCAGTATGGGCATGTCCACCTAGATATTTTGTAATGTGTACATTCATTTTGCTGTTTTTAAGGCTTTCAACACATCTAAGTCCCAATTTAGATGCCAGTGAAATGAACTTGCATTGATTTCAGGACTGCTTTTGAGGTCCTGCTTGTTGTTTGTTTGTGTTTGTTGTTGACATTCCAGTTCAGTAAGGCAAAAGAATGAACTGATGAATGTTTACTTGTTCCAGACTTTGCTGAGCCATTGGTCATGCCTGCATTTGGAGAAGTTGCTTCCAGTGGGGCAGCTGCATTAGGAGCTGTAGGGCTAGATAACCAACCTCCTGAAGAGATGGTTGCAATTATAATTTCCATGGGATTCCAAAGAAATCTAGCAATTCAAGCACTGAAGGCAACAGTGAGTTCCATGGGTTATTGATAGCACTTGGGTTTTGTTTCATGTTCTGTGCTTTGTATGTGTGCATGCTCATATGCCTTTGAAACATGTGTAAAACTCCAGTTAGTGGGTGATGCACCTAGAACTACTCTGGCAAAGTGTGGGGTGCCTGAATTGTCTGGTGAGAGTGGGGAAGGTGCTTTGTGTGTTTCACTCGAATGACAAAGTGTGGAAGACAGTGAGGAAAACTTACCTGCTTTTACTGTCTGGTGAAAAATAATGTGCATGCCTAAAGACTATGAATCTTCAAGATAAGAACCTGAGGCCATGGGGTTTAGGTGTGGGATTAGTTCTTTTCCATCTGTCAAGCTTCTGCTGAGTGCTTTAGAGTACTCTTTTCCATGGAGGTAGAGTATGTATCTTGCAAGTTTTAAGTGCTGTTAAGCATGATCCTTACTCTGTTCAAAGACTGATGGCAGTGTGATGCTAGAGAATGTATTAAAAGCTGCTCTTTTGATTGTTTGACTTGCAGAACAACAATTTGGAGCGTGCACTGGAGTGGATCTTCTGCCACCCTGACCTTGAGGAAGAAAATGAGCCTGCTTTGGACACAATGGATATGGAGAACAATGTCAATGCCAACATCCTTGCAGAGACAGGGTCAGAGGGACCCAGGATCAAAGACGGGCCTGGAAGTAAGTTCTCCTTCAGTTTAGAACTGGCTGTCATGTTGTTGGAATCACACGTGCACCATTCATAGAGCTCCTTTCTGCTTTGAAACTAGCTGTTGTGGGGTTTTGGACCTGATCCAGACAATTTGCTTCCAATCTTGCTTCTGGGGCTGAATCCAGCTCTGTGGGCTGTGTTTGCTCAG